AAATAATTTCATAATATTGTTAAATCTTGATTAAATAATATTTTTAGTCGATCCTGACTTAAGACCAATGTGATAAATTAATAATTTGCTAAATTTAACGCGCCATTATTAGTCAATGGTGGCTGACTTGCCTTTCATCGGCGGTCAAGAATTGTTGGCCGACACTATCTAGTCAACTTTTTGGATTTTTTAATTAATAATTAATTTAATAAAATATTATTAAATACTTATCATAATATAAATTATAATTATAAAAATATTTTTAAAATGTCTTTTTTAATCATTATACATCCACGACAATTTCAAAAGCTATTTCAAAATTACATTTTACCAAACAATTCTCAAAACTAATTATTTTCAAAGTTGAGTTAAAGCTTATTAAACGTAAAGTTACAGTAATAATAAACTAACACGGAATTACCGGTTTCCAATGGCTTTCAAAATTCCAAATAATGTTTCTTTATCTATCATGCTAAATCCTAATAATATTGGAATTCACCTTTAGGTTGTTAAAAAAAAAAAAACTGGACCGGCACATTTCATAAAATTCTCCTAACAAATTAATTTTTTGAAATCTAGAAATAATGTATGCAAATTACCAAAAGAGGACTCTCTATGTCAAAATCTTTAACAAATTTTTGTAGTTTTAAAATCTTTTAAACATCTTGCAATTCTAAGATCATAATCTATCTGTTTAATTTAATTATATTTTTTTTCCATGTCTGTAACATTCGGCTTGAAGTAATCCACTTAAACTTGTTTCTATATTCATTACATTATGAATAATTTTATTACTTGCCTTTGCTATTGTTTGCAAAATCATGGCAAGAAATAATCTTTCCAACCTTTGTTTGGTTTGTTTGAGTAAAAATAACTTTTCTAAATCACAGGTTTATTTGAGTAAAAATAAACAAATTAAAAAGGAAAAAAAAGGCAAAGAGGATTTGTTTTTTAAGAAAACTGTTAATTATTTTTTTGTTTCTTAATAATGATTAAATAAATGAGATATTAAAAGGATTAGGAAAGTAGAGGAGTTAAATAATAAAAAGATAAGGAAAAGGATAATTTTGGAATAAAATAAAATTTAGTAAATTTTTTTTAATTGATTTTGAGGCTTACAAAGAGTGTAGGTGTAGACGGTAAAATCTAAGGTTTAATCGAACGAGGTTGATCTTGTGAAGATGAGGTCATTGACAATCTTGTGGATTTGCAAGGACAAAAATAGTGAATGCGAAGGCTCGGGAGACACCAGTGTGGTGTCAGCTTTAGGCACTCTGACAATGGTTTACGGGAATGTTTGGTTAGGGTGCGATTGATCGACGGAGAGTGGCTGGGGCAGTACTCTACGGCAATTACAAGAGTAGAGTTAGTCAAAACTAGGCTTTAAGGCGAGGAAATGGGATGGTTCTTGGGAGTAAGAACTTAGTGAATTAGTGAGAGGGATTGTGATTTCATCACTAATGAGAGGCTTGACATTTGCTCATATAGTGAGCCAAGTAAAACTAGAAGTACTAAATTCATGTAAGATTAGGAATTTTGGATGAATTAGAAGTGCATGAGACTTTAAGTCCTATTTTGGAATGAATATGAGCTAATAGGTTGAAGCCTGATTTAGCTTAACTTCTAGAAAAGTTCAACTCGTGCAGTAACCCAAAGTATAAGTTGACCCAGTTCGTATGATCAAGGGTGGCCCTAATTGTAGAGAGATCAAACTGGTAAAGTAGTATAACTTGTGAAGAGGGATAACATTTAGTGTGGACCAACTCATAAAATGGGCCGACTCATAAATGGATATTCTTACAAAGTAGGCCACCTCGTTGGATTGGTCTTTTCTACAAGTGGTTTCAAGCATGGGACTAATTGGAATTGGACTAAAACACTAGATCGTAGAGTGTTTATTTCATTATTAGGCCTTAGAAAATATAGTATGATTTATGGCCCATACATTAGGAATGGCTTAAATAGCACCACCATCTAAATGTATCTTAAGCATAACCCAGGAAATCCCAACTTGAGACCGGGGATCACACCACTAACTTAACACCCAAAAAAAAAAAACTTCTATTGACACCCCATTCTTAGACTAAATTTGATAAAGTTTAAATATTTCAAGAACAAAATCACATTTTTAATGTATATTAAAGTTTTATAAGGGGCTATATCAAGCTATAAATGATATAAAATCGTTAAGTTTATATATATATATATATTATTTTGACCTAAGTTATATCGCTGTACATGGAGTAATTACTAATTTCCGTGAAAAAAGCGAAAATGACAAATTGGAGATTGAGGCTGTTTAGAAAACACGTCGAGAACATCTAGTACAACAACTGAAGACCGAATGCTCGTAAGCCCACTTTCATTTATTAAAACCCATTTAAATGGACTGGAAACTAAATAGATCATATTAGGCCTCATAATCACCCATGTTTAAAGATTCTGATATTTTAAATTCATACAATTGAACCGTGGACAAGTCAATATAATTTTGATTAAAAAAATAATTAAATCTAGCACTTAATTAATTAATATTGATAGAAAGAAAGATGTATAATTTAAACGATTTGAAGATGAAAACCAGGGACCGAAAGCAGAAAAAAAGAAACTAAAGGGTAGGAAACTTTCTTTTCATCTATTTATCAAAGGAAAAGGAATGGAAGTTTTTACACATCTTTTCACAATTTAAGGAAAAAAAATAGCAACTTCCAGCCAACTTCCTCAAATGTAAAAGCATGCCGCATGCGCATCAAATACCATTTATTAAAGCTGTACGTGTTTTGTGGATCTAATTTTTTCTCTTTTCCAGACTTTGGCTTTTGTCACTTTCACGATACCAACGATAAGCCAGACTTAACTATGGAAATTTTACTTTTAAATGTTTTTTTTTTTTTTGGGTATATTGAAAAATGGCCAGTTGGCACCTTGTCAAGTGTCACATAATTAAAAACTACTCGTGGTTTTTCCTTCACCTTCAACTTTTAATAGGCAACAACCTTTAATCTTTTAACCCCACCGTGCACCAAATTTCTCAAATTTTGGTATCTAACAACATTGGGCAATTTTAATCCAGCAGTCAGTCATGGAAAGAGATTTACGGATAGCCACCCAGGCATGTCTGATTTCCAAAATTGGCGATAAAAAGGAATTATTTAAAGCTTATAACAATTAATTGAAAAAAATTAATCACATTTTTTTGTATCATTAATGTTAGGATACAAAAAAACTCACAACCTTCTTTGTAGCCAACGTGATAGATTATAATGATAGCTCACAACAAATAGGGGGGACCCATAACTTACAAATGTGCAATAAATCTTTCACGATTTTCATACTGTTGTGATTTATAAATGGAGCGTATTTTATATATTAATTTAAGACATTTATTACACGTCAAATATGTATATTTCATTGCGGTGTGAGTGAAATCCTATGTTGTTGTTTTAATATGTATATATATGATGTGATATTTTTGAGATATGGAAGAGAGATTTTTTTTAAATATTAATGGACCGAAACTTAAAGGGACGCTCAATATTATGTTGTAAGAGCAGTATAATTCAGTCAGGTAATATTTTTCATAAAAAGCTAATACGCTTATTATCTTGTATTACAGGGAGAACGACATTTTCTCACCCAAAATTTGATGAAATGATAATTTTCCATCCTTCGTTAGGTTCTGTTGTGTTTTTCGTTAATATTTTATTAAAAAGATAAAAATATCATTAAAATTTTGATTTTATAAATTTTTAATTAATTAAAAAGAAAGAATAGTTAGTTCCACCTAAAAAGTTTAATGTTATAAAATTGTTTAAAGTTAAATGATCTTAATATTTATTTATAATTTCATCAATATCTCATTATTATTATTCAATAATCTATTAAATTTATAATATTTTTATTTTTTCTAATTAATATAAAAAATTAATATTCATAATTAATTAACTAAAAAAAGTATTTTACACTTAAACTAATATAATTAAATTTACACTTAAATCTAATAAATAATTGAATAAAAACTTTAATTTAATTAAATTTTAATTTATAATAAATTAACTAAAAAATAAAGTATTTTCATCTTTTTGATTAAATATTAATAGAAAACATAAGAAAAAAAGTATCAATTTAAACTTGATGGGTGAGAAAGTATCTTTCCTAAAACTTGGTGTATATCGTTCTCCCTATATTATATTATTATTCTACAATTAAAAGTCAATTTTTCATAAAGGTCATGGTTATAGATGTACTAGAAAGTAGAAACCATCTCTAACACATTACCTGTTTTCTTTTTATATTTTCTTCATTAAATAAGAGAACAAAAAATAAAGGTAATATATTCCAAATTATAAGGATGAAAGCGTAAATAACCGTAACCCAAACAGATCGCCCTTTAATTAAACAGGATATAAATCGTACTAGACTCTAATAACCGACGCCGAAGGCTGTAGCCTGTTAATAGTTTCACCTTTCACGTGACGTGACACTGTTTAATTCAGAGTTAACACGAATATACATAGTCTCATCTCATATTTTTGAGAAATTAAATAATAATAATCCTTTTGTCCATGATAGAAACGTCAACTTGTTCATTGTTATAATCCAAGTCCAACGATTCAAAAGAGGTATTCTTGATACATAAAATAATCGCCGCATAATAAAGGTGAGGTGCGGCCTCCTTATTCCGAGTAATCGAGAGAATAAATGTAAATGAAAATTTGTTTAATTGGTAATTAGATTATGATATTAACATTAATTTTTGGCAGTGGCTGAGTTGGAAACATACGACTAAGAAAGGAAAGAAAGTAGATCCGACTACTTTTCAAACCAAAGCAGATTCCTACGGACTACCTATCATTTCTCCGTCTCAAAAAACCCACCAATCTCCGACAAGTTAAAACGCCTTTCAAGCAATTTCTAGCCCTACATATATTTTTAATTCCTTTAAAAAATAAAATAAAAAGATTTACAAATCGTCGTCCTTTTCATATTCCCGATTCCGGTTTTTTTTAAATTCTACTCTGCCGGTAAAGTCTCGTGTCTCCACGAGAAATCGGAATACTCGGACGAATCGAAGTACACATTTGAATACTCAAACAACCCGTCGTCGAACCCCACATACTCACCGGTATTATTAATGTCACTGATTCCCAGTTCGAACGAGTCATAACTCGTGATGTGGTCCTCAAACGCCCACAACTCGCCGATTCCAGACGACCCAGACGAAACTCGCACCAACTCAGTAACTTCATCAGTTTTAGCCTCTTCACATGAAACAGTACTAGAAGGGGGCAATCCGAGCTCATCATCGGAAGCTTCTAGAAGGTACCCAAGATTCGGCTGGGACTCGCCGGAATCTGATGACGTCAGATCCACAACTTCGACCGGCGAATTAGAAAGAGCTGCAATTTCTTCTTGAAAGCTCTTCATTACTGAGTCAAGGTCTTGAGTGGCCGGGTCGGGACCCGACTCGTCAAGAAACCCCGATAATAAATCATCTCTAAGCCTCTTCACCTCAGGGGAGTCCAGCTCGGACACAGCGGTATCATCCCTGACCCGCTTCTTGTTGTTGGTGTTGCCGCTTAATTCTTCCATTGAGAAAATAAAATGAGGTGTAGAAATAAGAAATTAGAATAAAGGGAACTAGGGCTAGGGTTTGTTGCAAGATACGTAGAACAAAGTTGGAAGGCTGTGATGAGAAGTGGTGGAGAGGGAACATAAGTTTATATAATGAGACCAGAGAGGAGAGAGAGTGTGTGTGTAATGATGGTGATGGCAGGGGCGCGTGGAAGCAAACACATAGGCCATCACGGAGGTCTTGTTCCTTGTTGTTTTGTTTCCTATAATAAGACTTTTCTTTTTCTATTATTTTTTTTCTTGAGATTTGATTTCGGGTACTGTTTTAATAATTTTATTAAATGGTGTTAAGCCCGGTCAGATGGGGTCCACTATCTTAGTCAATCACGGCCTTTGGTTTTTGGCTTGGCTCGGCTGCTGAGTGAAGGAGAGTTGGTTTTAGTTTGGTTGCGTTTGTTCGGTAGGAAATTTAAAGCATTATGGTATCATTTCGCCAGAGTTAGATTTTGTTTTTTCTTTTTGTTTAAAAAAAAAATATAAAAGTTAGAAAAAAAATATTTTAATCTAATGCAGAATAAAAATTATAACAAGTAGAGGGAAATGTATTTGGATTATTTCATACTTTTATAAGTTTTAAATCAGATTTTTGTTAATAATTTATAATAAATAATTCCAAAGATACGTTAAGAGGGAAGGGTGTTAGTTGTGAATATAATTAAATTAGATTTGACGGGGCGGCGGGAGGGCTTTCTGTGGAGGAAAGTTTTAGGTAATTGATGGCGCATTTGCTTAGAAAATTTAGTGGGTTGCTACTTGTTATCATGATGATGATGATGATGATGACGACGACGTACACCTTATTGGGGAAAAATATCTCATTTAGTCTGGGCTTTGTCAATATGAACGGAATTCATGTTACACGTTACTACTTTTCTTATTATTTAATTATTTCTACCACGAATTTCCTTCCCATAAAGCACTTAGTTTGAACTCTCAACGCTTGTCCTTGTTCAAACCTTGTTTTAAACACAAGGAATTGTTCTCCCGTCTACCCCACTCGTTTCTTTTAAAACATTTCAAACTAAAAAAACATATTTATTTTTTTCTTTTTAAATAAAAAAAAATAACAACTACCAATAAATAACCTCCTAAGTCGTAAACTAGCATCAACCCTTGTATCAAATATCACAATTGAAAATAATAATTATTTTTCACTATACTATCCCTATCTTACCCAAAATACACACTTATTTTCTTATTGAAAAAATCTTATTTTATTTTATTCAATTATTTTTAAACCTCTTAAGTTTGTTAATTTAACTAAACACACCTAAAAAAAGTTTAAAAATTGATAAAAACATCCTACCCATCCACATTTCCTAGATTTCGGTCACTACCGCCAGAAGGTGATCAGAATCTGGTATAATAGCGTACTGCCGGCTAGATCTAGCTGGTAGTGCACCGATCTATCATTTTCCGGTAGCTGATCGTTAACAACGGTCAGATATAGTCGTCGTTGACCATCAACGACGACCATATCTTTGGTCGTCAAACATGACCAGATCTGGTCGTCAATGGTCAAATTTGACCTTTTCTGGCCACTAGCTAGAAAAGACCATCTGGGCTCACGACCGACCAAATCTAGCTGGTTATGCATACGGTGACTCTGCCATCCTTCGACGGTGGTGGACGACTGCTGATATTTAATGGGTGGGTGTGAGTGTTTTTATAATTTTTAATGTTTTATTGCAAAGGTGTTTAGTAAATTAATAAACTTAGGAGATGTTTTTATTAATTTTTTACTTTTACCTCATTATTCCTACCTAACTCTATTTTTTCAAAAATACTATCCAAAATATTAAAATAAAGAGACCTAATAATACTAATAATAGAAGAACGTGGGATAAAGTTAGAAAATGAAATAGTGATTTATGGTCCATAATTAATAAAGAAAATGTTTATCAAAAGGGGTTGGGGGCATGACATGAAAGAAGAAAATAAGGTTTTAGAAAGCTCAACCACCGAATGGTCATAAAATATCTCAACTGCCAAGTGGTGGACAGCCAGATCCCAACCTATTCATTACCCATCCACGATCCATCCAACTTACTCTTCCACAATCTATCCTCATCCTTCGTTTTCCACTTGCCCCACCACGTTATACTCTTTTTTTTTTTCTTTTTTAAAACGGTGGGATCATATGCTTTATTAAGTATTCTTCCCATTTATTCTTTTATTTTTAAATATGTATATTTATAAGTTGATGAATATATTTTCATTCAATCATTTTCTGATTTAATAAATATATTTTGGAAAAATAATCTATCACAGTTTTCAATAAAATTGTTTTTTAATTAATTATGTTTTTAAAAGAGACGGGTGTGTTTGTTTTATCATTTCAATCGTATTTTGTTTTATTATTCTCAAAATCTAATATTATTTTATTTAACTAAAAATATTTAAAAAAATTTAACCTCTTAGATTTATTAATTTAATTAAACACCCCTAACAGTAAAAGTTTATAAATTAACAAAAATATCCTCATCTACCTACATATTCTTGTAACCAGTGACTGACTGTCGACATTTAATAGGCGGGAGGGGGTATTTTTATAAATTTTAAAACTTTTATTATATGATGTGTTAACTAAATTAATAACTATAAGAAATTAAAAAATAATCTTACTAATCATCGTAATAATAACTCAACTCAACATTTTAAAAAATATTATTCAAATTAATAAAACAAACATAACATTTTCTATTAGAAACATATTTAGTTTACAAAAAAAAAAATATTTTTAAAATTGACAATCTAGAATGAGGGCAGTTGAGGTTTGAAAAATAAAAAAAAAATGTTTTTAAGTGTGCTGTTTTTATATTCCCACGTATAACTTGTGATCCGAAATTGTTAATCAACATAAATTTGTCATTATTAATTTTTAAAATGTTTTTTATTAAAATTTAAAGGGATTTACAGAAGATCTTTTTACTATTTAAAACTTCTAGATCCAAATAATATTTCCTGTATACCTTCAGAAAAATTGCTCCACATTACCTAGAAAATAATATTTATATGGAAGGAATAAGAGGCATTAATGTTACATACAAAAAATTGCAGTTTTTGAATTATAAAGTTGTACCCTTAAGGACGTTAATTAAAATCAAACTCTATCTTCAATTTCATCCCACTATTTAAGAATTGATTAATGTTATACTTACAAATATATCAATACAAAGTGATTTAACAAAAAATAAATAGAATAGTGAATATAATGAATTTGACTTTTTGTTTTACTTTTCTATTTATTTTTTGTCACCTCACTTTGTATGGAAATTTTTATAAGTATAATATTATTGTTAAGAATATATATGAGAGTTGCTTTTCTTTTATTTTCTAGTGTTAATAGCCAAAATATTTTCGTTTCTCAAGCATGCTTAGAGCTTCATGACACAAGACTTTTTGTATTTCCGTACTATTATCTTTGAGCTTTCTCTTATTGTCTAATTATAACAATGATTTCTCTTTTGGTTAAAACATACACTATTTGTTACTCATTTGGATAATTGAAGAAGACATTAATATCCATTCGATTAGTATAATAAAGTTATCGAATCTGATCACTCAATTCTATAGTGACTCTTTTATTCTCTTTATCTACTTCATTTGTAACTTACAATCCATTGATATTGGTGGTCCTAATTTTGCAGCGTTTAAAATCATGACAATTGTCTATGGCTTCATATCAATTGACCATATATAAACTATATTTACAGTTCCATCAATGATACTTATTTTTACTGATTCTAAGAAACGATCTTTTATCCGTTTTAAAAGTAGACAATTGAAGCACCGAATTAAAATCATAATGTTACTAAAATAATATTGTATTACTAAAACGTGAATTATAAAATAAAATAAAAATTATAATTTTTGGAAGTATATTTTTATTAAATTATAATTTTGTATAATAATAATAGTAATAAAATTATATATATATGCGCGCGCATGTGATTTTGTCCAGCAGTGTCCTATTCTTATCAAAGATTTTACTTGTCAAAGCCAGTTACACCAAATTTATCAGGCTTTTAATTGGCGCGCCGACGCATTCCAGAAGCAATGACCAATACAAATATGCATTGATTACCTATCAAATCCAAGTCTAACGTCACGCTGCCGGTAAGTTCACGGTCAAGTTGAGCGCCGCGTCAGCTCTTAGCCGTTCCTCGAAAATCAAATCTGTCAAACTGACTTGCCCTTCCTTGCACGTTTCCACGTGTCATCTTTTCATGTTTCTTATCTTCAATACTAAAAAAATTCGTATATATTTAATAAGGTATCTAGAAAGATTGATACGTTTTCCAAAGTGGGTCCACCTGTTCAAGTGGGATGTTAAAAGCAATCACATGATACAGCAGATAGTTTGGTGTATGTCATCCATGCCGTGCTTTTTACTTTTCACGAGGAGTTTCGTGCTGTCTGGATCGTACTATTCCATTATCATCACACGCGTCCATTCCCACCTTTCGCATCAATCCGTGTCAATAAGAAACCACGGTGCAGATCCAGCGGCTGAGTAAAGTGATGTCTCATTGTAAGCTCAAAGGTGTTTGATACATTGTATATCGTCCTGTGAATTGAAATATGATATACGGATTTTATATATGGCCGTACTTCGGTAAGAGATCCAACGTGCGATTCACGAGGTGTACTATCGAGAGTGATGCTTGCATAGTGGATTCTTTATAGAGTCTCATTGTGTGGGGAACGTGTCAACTCTATAAATTTATGTTCAAAAGGTGTGAAAATTTGATTACTGATTAAAAATTGCTAATTAATTGAATTTGGTTAGGTTAGATGTATTCCTAATAAGTAAGAAACAGATAAGATCTACTCTATAGTACCAAACAGCACCTTATCTGAATGTCAAATTCGGACCACATCTTCTGGCTAGGTCAAAATCAGAATGGTCAGTGCCTCAGTGGTTTCGGTTCTATTATTTAATAATTTTCAGGCTGTCAGACAGCATTTCGTTTTATATAATTTTAATTAGTTTTTTGTTTTCTACATGTCTTGGAAACAAAAGGAGAAGCAACCTGTTTTGAAAGAATAAATCTGAGGTCAGGATAATTA